AAGTCGGGGGGGGGGGCGGCGGCTTCCAAAATGCTTCAGTGTAGCTACGGGCCTGCTTTGATGGGTCTGGGGTAAGAAGGGAATGACAACCTCTCTCCCGGAAAGTCTTACTGGAAGTGAGTCTCCTAATAGGTGTCTAAAACAGGATGACAAACCAATAAAGAGCCTTTTATCTTTGAATCTCATGTATATCAGGCTAATGCAAAGAGGCTAAGAATGGGATAAAAGATATATTATTCTTTTGAGTGCATGACACATATGCTCAAAATCTATCTTTAACCTTCATTTTTAATACTCTAAGTGATCAGGATTTTTGCACAGCTAATATGTATTATTGTTCTTATTTATGTGGGATCTAAGGGTCTTTCCTCAAAGTAGTACTTTTGTTATGGGGGCTTCGTATATTCCCAGCACTCTAACAACAGTATTTTATCAGAAAAATATACAATTGTCCCCTCATTACAATGGTAATTACTGTGTGGAATGAGATTTTGTGTATGTCCCAAGCTTTTATTTGATAGTGCCTGTGCTATCACTAATAATTAACAACAAAGTTCCTATGAATCTATTTTGTAACCTTTTAGGCTTTATTTTGTTAATTATTTTAATTTCTAAAGAAACTAAATGTGCCCCTGCTACATGCACTTCAGCATGAGAGGACTCAAGTTGTATTTCCACAACAAAAGTGGCAAACAATACATAGTGTGTCCTGCTACTATTGTGGATCTTTTGCTTTTACATTTTTTCTAAAAAACAATTGTTTGAAGGCTGTGCACTTTCCCCTCCATTGCTAGCATGCCCCTTTCCCCTTATTTCTTTTTACAGGGGAAAATAGGAGTTGAACCATCACCACTTATATACCAATGCTGCCCTACGCCCAGTTACATAAAGACAGAATGTCCAACTACAGGGTCTCAATCAGTGTTACCACAAGTATAGCACAAAGAGAAAAGGAGAACAGTGTGTATCTTTCCTGAGTAGTGCTCTCATTTTCTTTTTTTCCTTTGTAGATATATAGGAGCATTATATGGCAGGATTGTTGGCTTGATCCTGGTTTCCATTTTTGGGATTCAGACTGATGAGAATGCTGCATGGATTGACCCAGGGCTATTTGCTGCTGTTGGAGCTGCTTCATTCTTCAGTGGTGTTTCAAGGCTAACTATTTCCCTCACTGTTATAATGGTATGTTTTAAATACACATATATATATAATTTGCAAGGAGAACTATTGTGGAGGGGGAGACCACACTATCATATTACAAAACAGATTTTTCAATATATATATATTTTAAAACCCATTCTTTGTGTCCTGGAAATTTGACAGGCCACAAGGAAGTATAGTGGTACTGAGCTGCACGTTTTCCTAAACAAAGAGCTCTGGTAAGCAGTAGGAGAGCTGGAACTCCACAGGAGTTGTAGAAACTGGGTGTAGAGAGGCTAGCAAGAGCTAATTATAAAATAAGCATTAAAAACAATCAGACCACAACCCTTCTCAGGCTGCCTTGATGAAAGCTACTAAGGGCCTTGATTTTGGCAAAACTCCAGAATAGCAGGGGTATCCGTTTTCTTAAAGAAGCAAAACTCTGAGCCAATAAACAAGCATTTCAGTTGTGAAACATCTCTAGCAAAGTCTGCTCACAGAGACCATCAAGGAAGATGAGGGAAGTGATGTTAGAAGGCTTCAGGAAAGAACTCAGCGTTATCTCATCTGGTGCAGGACGGAGGATCAATTCTTAGTTATCAGAGCTGACCCCCTCTGGACTCCCAGCTAAATGATACAAGGGCTATAAATTGGGGGTTGTTTTTTTGGGGGGGGTGTTCTCCAGCCTGACCTAGGGATGCCAGCCTCCTGGTGGGACCTGGGAATCCCCTGGAATTACAGTTTATCTACAGACTACAGACATCAGTTCCCTGGAGAAAAATGATATTTTGGTGGGTGAACTCTGTGGCATTGTACCCCAATGTGGTCCCCATCCTCCCCAGGCTCCATCCCCAAATCTCCAGGAGTTTTCCAACCTGGATCTGACACCCTAGCCCCCCATCCCCCTAGGGTTGCCAAATCCATTTGTTCTCGCGGCGGGGGACTCCTGGATGGCGTCCCCTGCGCGCGCGCGCCGCATGCACGTCACCCGGATATGATGTGATGACTCTATGTTTCCCCCTCAAATGGCTGTGGCCCCGCCCCCAGCGTGCCCGGCGTCATCACGTCACATCCGGGTGACGTGCATGCCGGGATGGGGTTTTCCCCGGGGCCCGATTCCGTGGCGGTGGAAATCGAGCCTCCAAAGCGGGGGAAATCCGCCCCCCGGGGGGGAATTGGCAGCCCTACATCCCCCTCTGGTGGTCGGGGGGACCTGGCAACACTAAACCTGACTCATACCTGCACTTTAGGGTTGCCAACTTGTAGGTGGGGCCTGAAAATCTCCTGAAGTTATCAGATCAGAGTTATTAGAGAGATCAGTCCTCCTTCAGATAATGGCTGTTTTGGAAGGTCATGGCATTATACACCAAGGCTCCTCCTCTCCCCTCCCCACTTCCCCAGGCTCTACCCCCAAATCTCCAGGAATTTCCCAGCCCAGATTTGGCAACTTTACTATATGTACATAGGGGATATTCACTTTGGAAGGCAATCTGCTGCTCAGTGTGGCCCCGAACCCTGTGATGGGGAGGAGGGGTTTTGGGCTTACTTCCCACATCATTTTAGTCAGTCAAAACAGCTACTCTATGGGTGCGTTCAGACGGGGGCTTTATACCGGTTAGGGTGCCGGTTCCAACCGTTGTACTCACCGGCGTTCAGATGGGGCACATCTGCCTCCTCTCCCTAAGCGGTGTAAAGCCCTTTAAACCGTTGCACTCTGCTACCAGGTCCCCAAGTGGTGGCATACAGAGTGCAACGGTTGTAAACGGTGCACCCCGGCGTCTGATCGCTCTCCACCGTTCCCCAGCTACTTCCGTTGGAAGCCTGAGGCTTCCGGAGGGATCCGGAAGATGGAGGTAAGTGTGAACCCCGTCTGAACGCACCCTATGTGTGCGTGTGCAGGGGAATATTTGCTCCTTTCTCTGGCTCCACATGTCCTGGAAATGTGGCTCAGGAAATCTGGAAACAGGTACTAAGAAAACAGTTGTGTAAGTCTGACCCACAAATCAAGATAGTCAACAAGACTATCTATGTATTGTTACCAATAAACACTACATAACAATAATGAACAAATTCCATCAAATCATAAGAAAATCCTTGTATAAGAATAAATCAACAACGTCTCTAGATTTTATAACAACAACGTTTCAAAAACCCCTCTGGACTCCCAGCTAAATGATACAAGGGCTATAAATTGGGGGTTGTTTTTTTGGGGGGGGTGTTCTCCAGCCTGACCTAGGGATGCCAGCCTCCTGGTGGGACCTGGGAATCCCCTGGAATTACAGTTTATCTACAGACTACAGACATCAGTTCCCTGGAGAAAAATGATATTTTGGTGGGTGAACTCTGTGGCATTGTACCCCAATGTGGTCCCCATCCTCCCCAGGCTCCATCCCCAAATCTCCAGGAGTTTTCCAACCTGGATCTGACACCCTAGCCCCCCATCCCCCTAGGGTTGCCAAATCCATTTGTTCTCGCGGCGGGGGACTCCTGGATGGCGTCCCCTGCGCGCGCGCGCCGCATGCACGTCACCCGGATATGATGTGATGACTCTATGTTTCCCCCTCAAATGGCTGTGGCCCCGCCCCCAGCGTGCCCGGCGTCATCACGTCACATCCGGGTGACGTGCATGCCGGGATGGGGTTTTCCCCGGGGCCCGATTCCGTGGCGGTGGAAATCGAGCCTCCAAAGCGGGGGAAATCCGCCCCCCGGGGGGGAATTGGCAGCCCTACATCCCCCTCTGGTGGTCGGGGGGACCTGGCAACACTAAACCTGACTCATACCTGCACTTTAGGGTTGCCAACTTGTAGGTGGGGCCTGAAAATCTCCTGAATTTATCAGATCAGAGTTATTAGAGAGATCAGACCTCCTTCAGATAATGGCTGTTTTGGAAGGTCATGGCATTATACACCAAGGCTCCTCCTCTCCCCTCCCCACTTCCCCAGGCTCTACCCCCAAATCTCCAGGAATTTCCCAGCCCAGATTTGGCAACTTTACTATATGTACATAGGGGATATTCACTTTGGAAGGCAATCTGCTGCTCAGTGTGGCCTCGAACCCTGTGATGGGGAGGAGGGGTTTTGGGCTTACTTCCCACATCATTTTAGTCATTCAAAACAGCTACTCTATGTGTGTGTCTGCAGGGGAATATTTGCTCCTTTCTCCGGCTCCACATGTCCTGGAATCATGTGGCTCAGGAAATCTGGAAACAGGTACTAAGAAAACAGTTGTGAGAGTCTGACCCACAAATCAAGATAGTCAACAAGACTATCTATGTATTGTTACCCATAAACACTACATAACAATAATGAACAAATCCCATCAAATCATAAGAATGCTCTCCTAATTCCCCTAGGTGGCATATTGTAACTCTAGTGTTCTTTTTTCTTGACTGAGCAGTGCTTTGATTAACAACCAGTGAAAATAGAGGAAATGCTACAAGAGATGTGGGACTTGGATTTGACAGTACAAAGGCATAGTTCAGAGGAAGTGCCTTCAAATCACAAAAGGCACATTTTTCCTTTGTTGTCTGCTGGGTTTAAGAAAGGATTTTGAGATATTGGATTTGGCTTTCTGCACAGTCTTCCAGTTGAAGAGTTATGGTACAGAAGAGATAGTATAATGCTTTTTAAAAAAACGTTGAAGCCTCCCGCCCACAATATTTGACTATGCTTTCATTTTTGACTGCTTACTCCTTCCTCATTGACATGAGTCTTATTGTTCTTTCTAGAAAATTCTAGATGTGTCAACATTTATTTTGGTTTCCTCAGCCTCCTTCATCTCTGTGGTGTGTTGTGTAGCCCACAGCCACACACAGAGTTAGGTGTGCATATGCCGCAATAAATAAGTAGGTTTAAGCATATTTAGACATTGGGCTGTGTTCTCTCTCTCTCTCTCTGTTCCTTTGTGATCAGGTCTGTTGGATATTTCAGTCAGATAGTAAGGGTTCAGTGTAGGGTGGCCAGACCCACCCAGTGGAGATGGGGATTCCCAGCCACCAGGCCCCACTGCCCTGCCAGTGAGAGCCAGTTTGGTGTAGTGGTTAAGTGTGCGGACTCTAATCTGGGAGAACCGGGTTTGATTCCCCACTCCTCCACGGATCCCATTGGTTCCCCAGAGGAGGGACTAGAATCCTAGTCCCTATTGTTGTTCGGACTGAAGCTAGGGCATATGCGCTGACCTCCGGTGGCGGTCCGCGGACACTACATGATGCTTCCCCAGAGACATGCCCAAAGCAGCTCACAAACAGAAAACAATATAGTAAAACATTAGAATGATCAATAATAAAACAAGCTATAGAAACCAGACATAAATAGAAGTCCAGGGGCAAAAAGTAACATCCAGTAACTTAAAATGATATTCATATGACAGTCCTCAAGTAGACCATAAAAATAGCCACAAAGCTGAAAGCCTGGGTAAAAACAATAATTTTGTCCTAGCACCTAAGGGTACCAGGCAAGCCTTAAGGGGGAGGGCATGCCATAACTGGCTGCCCTCTGCCCCGCCTCTGCTGTCCGTGATCAAGACAGTACATATACTTGGCTATAAAAGATCAAGTACGCAGCCCTTTGATACAGGGATGTGAATTTCTTTTGAAACACAGCATTCTCCATGAAGTCTTTTGACTGCAAATTGATATTGGGATAGGCTTTTATTTGCTTTCTCAAAACAGTGGAAAGCAACAAGTAGTTTAGTGACATGGCAGCAGTGGAAACAATGCAGAAGTGGAATACTTCACTGCTGAAGTTAATGTGGGGTAAGCTTCTTGAAAGGTACGGCCACTTAAGGTCGTTTGCAATATTAGTTTACTTAGCATGTATAAAAGCTTTAAGACAGATGTTGTTTTCATTTTTAGAATGGTTGGGTGTGGTCACTTCCTAACTGTGCAGAAGTATATGGTGGGCTGTAGATATGGCACAGAAGAACTAATGGGGAGGGGCTCTGCATGTAGAGGGTGCCAGGTTCCCTGGTTCAATTGTCCTGTGCCTCCAGATCATGTAATAGGTGATGCGAAAGATCTCTACCTAAGACACAGAGAGAAATAG